TCTGCTTGTGACTCACTGGTGCATTTGTTGCGAGCTCACGAGTTACGACCAATTGAATACGCAATTCAAGCCTGGAGACCGCGGATGCGACAGGATTATAACGTACTTGAAAGGTTTCAGCGGCGAGCCACAAAATATGTAAGAGTCCAAAATACACTACCATATGAAATCCGCCTGAATAACCTTTATCTCCATCCTCTGAGTTATAGCCAGTTACACGGGGATTTGATACAAACGTTCAGTATCGTGCATAGCGTGGACTGCGCTCTCATGTGTGATGACTTTTTCCAACTCGCTACTGCAACTAATCTCCGGGAACATCCCATCAAACTGTTTGTGCTCCAAAGACGATTGGATGTGAGGAAGTATTTTTTCTCGAACCAGGTCATGGACCCGTGGAATAACCTACCTGTGGCGATTGTAATGTCCCTATCTGTGGAAAAATTAAAACACTGACTTGCTATCCAGATGTTGCAGCACAACGTGAACTATGTGAAAAATTAACCTTGAAACACTAATGCACCATGTGACTGTCTATATTTTCCTGAGTAAAACATTGTTAACATTCTTTCTAATTCTTGAGATTTTTGAAGTGCATATACGGCGTTCACAGGTGCGAGCCTATTTTTTCCTCAGATATACTGCCCGACTGACTAACACTCTGTGAAAAGTATGACGAACTAAGGAGGAGGCAATGAAAAAACTCCTACCATGAAAGCAGAGGCAAAGTTCAGCGGACCCCCACTTTAAAAAATAAAACGGAGGAGAAAAAACTGCTTCCATAAAAATTAAGAGGTTGGCTGATAGGATCGTTACGATACAATGAGACAGGACTCTTGATGACAACGCATGAGGTTTTGAAACGCTTCTGGTCGTTGGAGAAATCGTATAGCAGCAGAGGCTACCGTTCACAACCGTAACATCGCCTGGCTGGCTACAGGATCAACCATCAGGGAAGTGACACAGGAGGAGATAATCGCGGACAACGGGGTCAAAACAATGAGGGGACGGTAGAGGTCACATGATCATCACCGAAGTGCCGGAGATTAGAGACTGTGGAGTGCAGAGACCAGTAACAGGTACCTTTGAAGACAGATATTTTTTTTTAAATTAGAACAAACTCCTTATTTTTCACACTACTGATTACGCATAAATCTAAAATAAAGCCACTATTAACTGCAAAAACGTTTGTTTTAGTTTTTTCCCTATTTTCGAAGGATTTTGACGGTGTTCAAGAGGAGCTATATTGATATCAAGTAACCTTATTATTATTACTATTTTTATACCCCGCAGATCTCGAAACAGGAGTTGCCCATCAATCAGCAACAAGTAATTCGACTAAAGGGAAGCAGGAGAAGTCAGGCTTTGTCTACCGACTGTAATGCAGTTGTGAAATATGCAACTACGTTGGAGAAATGGGACGACGGCTACAAACGTGAATGCGTGCGCATCAGTTAGCTGTAAGATATTTGATCCCAAAGTCAAAGGCAGTAACACATTCTACAGAGATAGGGCACGTCTTCATTTTTGTCGTTGTTGAAATGTTAGGCAATATGATGATCACACACGAAGGCAGATTCAGGAGACCTGAATGTCGACTGACTGCCCAGCAAACCATCACATAAATTTGCCTAGCGCTTATATGGTTTGTTTTATGTTAATTATTTGTTATATTAAGAACCTTCTTATCCGGGGACAGTTACGACATGGATAGATCGGGGCCTCCAACTATCTCTACACCCAACGTGCATATAAGTGAAATAAGCCGGCCGAGACGCTGACGGAGTGACACAACATATAACTAACGCACGTGAAGGTGAAGCAAACAATAGTGCCACGGTAACCGATAGGGTCAACGAGGAGTACTTACTCTCTGAATCTGGGTAGACGAGATAACGACCCGAAATGTCAGATACAAAATACACCCCTCCTGTTGAAGGCAATTTCTTCTTCTTCCAACTATCGAACCTCTGAGTTCAAACGAAGATAGTAGATGCGAAGTTTTTTGATGGTTGTTACATAACATATCTTCAAACAAACATCATTCGAAAATGGAAAACAACATGGGCCTTGCCAGTCTCGGTGGTATGAGTGTTTATATTCGAAGATTAAAGGCTTATATTCTCTTAAAATAGCTATTGGCAAATTAAAAAAATAAAAATGTGGGCTGTAATAAATTTCACTGACAGTCTGATGACCAATGACACTTTATACCTAACGAAGTATATGTACCTAATGGTTCTTTTCATCCATGAACCTCAAACATATTTCGAACATATGAAGTCAAGAAAACAGAGCTGCTTAGTGTATTCGAAGTTCGTAGTTGACAAAATATTTTTGTATTACTGATTTACTGACAAACGTTAGCCATTTCTCCAAAATAGGCAATGAATTAACATTTGCATCAGTTTGTTTTAGTTTATTTCGGGGCCTCATTCCCCTAGTATTTATAGTTGTAAAGAGGGGATTTAGCGTCAGGCTGTGACTGTATCTGGCACGGTGTTCTCATCTAGTGGTTGAGTTCGCCCAGAATGCAGACAAATTCCGAAGTAACCGCTCCTCCTGAACCAGCACAAACCGTTCCTGACAACCTTGAGGACTTTATGAGCCTTACAGAGGATCGGGGAGTGTTAAAAAAGATCATCAAGGAGGGTATTAAGGATTCGTGTCCCGTTGACGGAGATACGGTTTTCGTACATTATGTGGGTACCTACCACGGCGGCGATCAACATGGGCAAAAGTTTGATTCCAGCCGCGACAGAAATGAGAGATTCAAGTTTAACGTTGGGAAATGTAACCCTCAGTGTGATTTCTTTACACGATTCCTTTAGCCGAAGTTATAAAAGCATGGGATTTGGTGATACCAACGATGAAGCTTGGAGAAGTGTGTGAACTTGTCGCACTTCCCGACTACGCGTACAAGGATGGCAAAACCCTGAAATTTGAGATTGAGTTACTGGAATTCTATGGTAATTTTTATTCTAATTTCACTGTTGTCAGGCGAGGACATCAGTAGAGAACAGGATGGCACGGCTAAGATGTCGGTTTTGTCTAAGGGTCCCCAAGTTTTCTGTCCGGAGGCCGGCGCCACAGTTGAGCTACATCTGAAGGGCCTTCATGACGGAAAGGTTTTTGACGATCGTGAAGTTTCTTACTGTGTTGGTGATTATTCCGAGGTCGGGATTCCAAGAGGCGTGGACAGTGCCGTACGGAAAATGCGTGCCGAAGGCAAGTCTATCGTCCGAGTTTCCAAGCAGAATTCCCTTGGCGAAGAGCAGTGTGCAAAGTTTGGAATTCCTCCAGGCTCTAGTCTTGAATATGAAGTTACCCTTAAATCTTTTGAAAAGGTTTGTGTTTTTGTGGTATGCCATAGTTTTTAGGTAAAGAGTATCCAGAGCCTGTCCTCGTTTTCCGAACAAATGGAGCATGCACGAAAGATAAGAAGCCACATAAATGAATATCTTAAGGTACTGTTGCCTTATTATGCGTCATTATTTAACTGGAAAATCTTTGAATGCTTTTTGAAACATTTTCTATGAATTGTTCACTATGTTCCTTTCTCTCCCCCGCTGACTGATGCGCCCGGTTTGGCCAACAATATTTGTGTTCAGATATAGCAATTTGATGTCCTTCCTGCTCCCGTCCACAGGTTGGTAAACACACTCTTGCACAAGACATGTACATTAATTTGCTGGGTGAACTTCTCTACGTCGTCACACAAGGTGTAAAGGAAAAGCAAACCCTTGACCAAGAAATGATAGCTGTTCATCTTAATTTAGCACTATCATTTCTTCGGGAAAACAACCCTACTGGCATCATCGACAACTGCGACAAGGTGTTGGATTTTGATGCATCCAATGAGAAAGCTTTGTTCAGAAAGGGACAGGTAGCATTTATTCGTAAATCGAAATTTCGTTAAAGGCCTTCTTACTTCGAGGAGACGTGGAGCAGGCTCTTCATTTGTTTAAGCGAGTTCTGAATTCATATCCGGAAAATACTGCTGCGGCGGCCCAAGTTAGAGTCTGCGAAAACACGTTAAAAAATGTGAAAGAACAGGAAAAGAAGATGTTCCGGTCAGCATTTAAGCGTTTGCAGAAGGTAATTTTTCCGAAAATGATCACGCTTTTTATTTGTTTGGCAACAAATTTGTATTTTATTCAAATTTATCTTTCAGGCCGGCTTTAGTTCGTCAGAAGAAATGACCAAAACTGAAGCACCAACTGCTGCAGCGCCCCCTGCGGAAGCATGATGTTATCGCCGCGTCCTTTTGCGCTTCTGCGTTTTATAACCATTTACAATAAATGTGTTTTTTTATTTTCATAAGATTCAAGATTTGACACTTGCCTTGACATTTCTTTAGAACAAGAGGATCTCTTATGACGATTAATTCGCAAAAAGAGCACTTCGAGTAGTACTTTATTAAACCGTGTTTCCATTTTTTGCGGATCCGTTGCCTACGAAAGCTCAGATTAATTAAATAGTTTTCCCGCTGCTCAAATTATTTTGGCCAATTTTCAAGGGAACTGTCTTGGAATTCATACCTTGTCAGCCATTCCTGACTTCGGGGCATCTACTTTCTGGGAAGCTTAAATAAACATTAGAATAATTCCTACCACAGTAAAAGCGGGGAATGGTGGATTTGAAATATAAGTGGGCTCTCCTTGCGTGTCTGCTTCTACTGTTTTGGTTAAAATAGTGGAGATCTAAGGGACAAAATGGTCCTTAATGTCCGTTTGGCTTCTTTATCGTCCATATAAATAGCTATATTCTGTTAATAGGCGCAGTATAGGAATAAACCATGTTTAGTCACAATCCAATATAATACCCATTGGTATTTCTCAGCATTGAGATTGCCGTTGAAGCATTCTTTATTTTAAAAAGCATACGTCCGAGGTTCAGTTGAAGCGACAATCTTATATTGCTGGTTTCTTAGTGCAAAGTCCGTTATCTTAAACATTTACGTGTCTTCAACACGTGATATTCTTAAACCAAATTTACTCGACTTTGTTATTGTCTAGTAATGGTTGGGCCTGCTAAAAACTATCTGGTCCTAAAGCTTTATAGATTCTTTTAAATGCAGCCTTACATAGCCTCCTCAAGATGGATATTTTCGAATATCACAAACACTTTGTGGACTATGTCTAGAAGAGTTGTCCGAAGTACGGATAAACCGAATTGCGGTTTGCTGTTGAGCGCACCGTTCAAGAAGCCATGCCCTGTAAGCAACAAAGTTATGCTTCAGTAAACCTTTGATTTCCCACAGCCCACAGGGGAACTGCAGCCGTCATCAGCTAGTACGCTTATCAGTAGCAATCATTAAAAGTATGTTTTGAGCAAAGGACAAAGTCCTTTAAAAACTAAATTCAAACAGTACAGGTATGCTAGGAAATTAGGAGAGTAGCAAAGCTTTTAGAGATATTTTTTGTAGGCGGCATGCATGAAACTAAAAATGAAATATAGATGTCAAAATTGGGCTGCATTTATGAAATAGCAGTGACCACGTTCACTGCATTTGCATTGGAAAACTTCCATCAGTCCGAGTTAATGTAAATACAATACTCTTCTGAAATCAATAAAGTAGCAACTAAACCTCAGTAGCCCATTAAGAAGAGTTTGGGGAGTTCAGATTGACCTATAACAGATGGTAATCGAGACACACAGAACTCCACTGGCGAACGAGCCAGTGGGAAAGAGGAGAAACGTTGATTGGTGTGATATAGTTCCTACTTAAGTTGGCAATCATGTCTTCGGAGAGTCGTTTTTGGGGCCATTTTCAAAATATATTTCCAATTGACACCCGGATCAAGTTCATCTAGTAATAAAAACGTTGCCCTAAGATCGTATTTGTCCTGTCTACAGTAGAGGTTGTAGATATTCAAGATGATCAGATGCGGTTCGTACGTGAAAATTTTGTGTTCATGAGGAGCCTTTGCAAAAATGTCATTGTACAACAACCTTCCAAAACCGCGGCCACCAATCGAGTTCGCATTTTCATTTTCGTTAAATTCCGCCAACATATGGTTGAATTTCCCTCAATTAGCGTCTGTATCCTGCGCAACAGGAGTTTATGTTTATGAAATTTTATTTATAGTATATTTAAACAAATACAATCTAATTTAATTTAATATTTTTTGATTACTTCCGCCACAATTAAATATTCATTAATATTCACTAGCCAAGAGTTAAACGTTTAACCGTAAAATACGTTAGGCAGTTGGGCGGGCGAAATAAATATTTAGAGGGCTCTACAAGTCAGTTTTTTCCAGTGAACATACGAATCTCAGAAAGTAAGTACGATTAAGCAGATGTAATCGCTGGAAAAAGAATTTCATTCGTCTGGCCTTTCGAAATCTGTCGCAAAGCCATCATCAAAAACAATAGCAGAAACCGGTGATTCATACACAGATATTTGCCATATACATATCGGATACAGTCATTGTGGTACTGCATACTTGTTACAATTAATGGCTCACCTATTGAGGATAATTGCCCTTTTGTGCGCTAATTTCTTGATGGCCGGTGTGCGCGTCGTGACCTACTGAACTTTTATCATACGTTGTGGACTTGGGCGTGATGATTGCTCGGCCATCTGAATTCCTGAGGCTGGCATTAGACGCTACGTTGGTCTGCGCGTTCCCCAAGTGGTGAATTGCTTCGGCCGAACGGAGCCTCAGCACGGAATATGGATTGGGCAGGTCGTTGCACTTGTTCATAGACTGAGGGCCAATGAACCATGCCTCTAGTAACTGGCAACTCACACGATTGTCACTTCTCGCGAGAATTTTGTTCTCATCAAATTTAAAAGTGTGGTTGGTTCTCGTCGAATGATTCGTAACTTAAGAATTGGCGTTATTTATCCGTACTGCTGCCGCATATTTGGCGATTCGCGTCTTGAGAAATCTTCCAGTTTTGCCGAAGTAGGTGCTTTATCTGCAACTATGCCAGATCCTAAAGACGACTCCAGGTATTTCCTGCCATAACCTTGGGTATTTTAGTTTCATTATCTGACGCCTCGTGGTTGCCTCCGGCTTGTGCAAAGGTTTACTGAAGCATAACTCTGTTGCTTACAGGGCATGGCTTCTTGAACGGTGCGCTCAACAGCAAACCGCAATTCGGTTTATCCGTACTTCGGACAACTCTTCTAGACATAGTCCACAAAGTGTTTGTGATATTCGAAAATATCCATCTTGAGGAGGCTATGTAAGGCTGGCATTTACGTACGGAATCGCTCGCCAAAATTTTCGAATGGATGCGATTTTGTTGCTCATCTCGTTTGCGCATGCACCGGTTGATTAAGGTGCGCAGGTAACAATTTTCTCTGAAGACTCATCGAAGATATTGCATTTTAGAAACTTTGTCTTCCGGTTAACTGTAGTGTGCCTCAACCCGCCGATAAAGCGTCCTTACGCAACTGCGTTTGTGGCTGATTGTGTGGTTGCTGTTGAAGTTCAGTACCTGCATTGTATTTGTCGCTTTCCTGAACATGTTAGTCTTAAGGCTACCACTGTTTTTGCGGCAGATGGGAATATCAAGGAAGGCCAGCTGATTGTTTTCTTCCTCCTTCATCGTAAATTTTATGTTCGGGAAGAGGCTCTTGAGACGCTCTTGGAAAGTGAGCATCTGATCGCGTTCGCTGCCCACGAGATGATGATGGACTCGTGACGGCTTTCGAAACGTCAGGCGAATAAAATTCTCGTCCCAGCGATCACATCTGCTTCTTCTCAATACTGTGTTTATAAGTGTGTTGTTGAGGAATTGTGACGGAGACCAGGACTGGAGAGGTGGTTCCGTGGTGCACAAATTCTGAATTTGTGAAGGCTACTGCTCCCTATTTGGTTGTTTTTCCGGCAAAAGTAGCTTATGTAGCCCCACTCATATACCCCTAGTCCTAGCATTTTGTCCTGCAAAAACGGTGGTTATAGAGTTTTGGGGGGTGTGGAAATAGGGAAGGCAGAGAAAGGAAATGTTTAGAAGTAAGTGTAAAGTGAAAAAAAATAGTCGAAATGGCTTCCCGCTGCCGCTCGGTGCAGGTTGTTCCGCATGTAAATTGGAGGTCTGCGCGGCGCAAAGGGCCGCGGACTATAATAATCTAACCCAGGATAGTAAGTTGGACCACAGGTAAGTTGAAGTAGACGAACTACCGACCATTTCAATTTTTCGGCAAATTCAAGAAACCTGCAATTTGAAAATCAGGTTTTTTTCGCCATAAGGTAAATGATAATAGAGATAAGAAAAATCTACAGATATAAATCAGCAACACTTCTAAATACAGTAAAATACAAATACATTTAGCATTTATTGAAGTATATTCCACTGCGTGTCCCAATTCCCCGCCCATAAAACCCGATAACTATCGTTTTCGTAGGAAAACCAGGAGGAAGTAGGAATTAATGAGTGGGGCAACACAAGCTACTGTTGCCGTTTTTGCCTTTTAGGGTTGCGGTATGGTAATAATTATCTGCATCACTTCTTTTGGTTTTGCGATGCCTCGACCAAGAAACTTAGTTCATAAGAGGCACGTGCTTTGCGGAGCAGTCTGTTGCATGAATGTTTTCGTCTAGAACTATTTTCCATAGCTTGCGCTTTTTTAGACTCTCCTTCATTACCGCAGTTGTCAGCCGTTTCGTTCTGTTTCCGGTCGAATGTTTCTTGAGCGGACTGTACCGTTCTATCACTTTTTGCTATTCAATTCAAAGGTTCTTCAACATTCGTTGACATTTTCTATGCGTTGACATCTCCTCGTAATACTTTTGTCCATAGTGCTGTGAGATATGAAGTATTCCGGCCAGATAATAGACGATGGAACGTATCCCAATTAATATGAACTAGTTGATATGATAAGGCGTGGAAGGCCAGAGTGTTGGGGATAATTTAATAAGGTGTA